ACTACATCTTCTTTATCCATTCATCAGTTGATGGACACTTGGGTTGCTTCCATATCTTGCTATTGTAAATAATGCTATAATAAACACAGAGGCACATATATCTTTTTGAATTAGTGTTTTCATATTCTTCGGGTAAACATCCAGTAGTGGAATTACTGGATCATATGGTAATTCTATTTTTAATTTTTTTTTAAGATTTTATTTATTTATTTGACAGAGAGAGAGCACAAGTAGGCAGAGAGGCAGGCAGAGAAGCAGGCTTCGTGCTGAGCAGGGAGCCCGACGCAGGGCTCGATCCCAGGACCCTGGGATCATGACCTGAGCCAAAGGCAGACGCTTAACCGACTGAGCCACCCAGGCACCCCTCTATTTTTAATTTTTTGAGGAGCCCCCACACTGTCTCCCACAGTGGCTGCACCAGTTTGTTCCTTTTCCTCCATATCCTCACTAACACTTACTGTTTCTTGTGTTTTTGATTTAAGCCATTCTGATGGGTGTGAGATGGTATCTCATTGTGGGTTTTCTTTTTCTTTTTTTTTTTTTTAAGTAGGCTCCACAGTCAATGCGGGCCTCAAACTCATGACCCTGAGATTAAGAGTTGGATGCTCTACCGACTGAGCACCCAGGTGCCCTTCGTTGCGGTTTTGATTTGCATTTTCGTGATGGGTAGTGATGTTGAGCATCTTTTCATGTGTCTGTTGATCATGTGGATGTCTTCTATGGAGAAATGCCTGTTTGTCTTCTGCCCACTTTTTAAAAAAAGATTTATTTATTTATTTGGAAGAGAGAGAGAGAGCACATGTGCATACAGGACCGTGGGGAGGGACAGAAGGAGAGAATCTTCAAGCAGACTCCCTGCTGAGTGCAGAGCCTGATGCAGGGCTTCATCTCATGACCTTGAGATCATGACCTGAGCAGAAACCAAGAGTCGGACGCTTAACCAACTGTACCACCCAGGCACCCCTGTCTTCTGCCCACTTTTAATTGGATTTTTTGTTTTTTGGGGGGTTGAGTTGTATAAGTTCTTTATGTATTTGAATGGAACCACAAAAGACCTCAAAGAGCCAACAAAATTTTGGAAAAGGAATAAAACTGGAGGTATCACAATCCCAGATTTCAAGATAATCTATAAAGCTGTAGTGATGAAAACAGTATGGTACTGGCACAAAAACAGACACATAGATCAGTGGAACAGAATAGAGAGCCCAGAAATAAACCCACAACTATATGGTTAATTAATCTAAGACAAAGGAGGCAAGAATATGCATGCAATGGGAAAAAAACAGTCTCTTCAACAAATGGTGTTGGGAAAACTGGACAGCTTTGTGACAAAGAATGAAACTGGACCACTTTGTTATATCATACACAAAAGTAAAATCAAAATGGATTAAAGACCTAAATGTTAAAGACCTGAAACCAGAAAAATCCTAGAAGAGAGCACAAGCAGTGATTTCTCTTAACATCAGCTGTAGCAACATTTTTCTAGATATGTCTCATAAGGTGAAGGAAACAAAAGCAAAAATAATCTGCTGGGACTACATCAAAATAAAAAGCTTTTGCACAGCAAAGGAAACAATAAAACCAAAAGGCAACCTCCCGAATGGGAGAAGATATTTGCAAATGAAAGATCCGAGAAGGGGTATGGCTGAATTTTTAAATCTCTGTTTCTTGACCAGGAATGGAAACATAAATGCCCGCAGGAGCCAGGCTGGTAACAGTGAGGGAGGTGATCAGGTGAGGGCTGGGAGACCTGGACATAGGTATCCTTCCTGTGGGGGTGTCTACTACTCAGGTCCGACGGCTCCCATGTGGGAGTGCAGGCCTACGACAGCCACATCTTCCTACTTTTCTATATTTAAATTTTTCTACAGATCAACCAACCAACCAACCAATCAGTCCCAGCTTTAAAATGCTGACCGCTGATTTCGTTCTTCTTAGTACCTTCTGAGGGTCACTGAACTGTAAGTCTAATAAACCGTGTGCAGGATCTGTATGCTGAAAACTTCAAAATGCTGACGGAAGAAAACAAAAATCTAAATAAATGAAGAGATATACATTCACGGATGGGAAGATAACATTGTAAAGATGTCACTTCTTACATGCTGAATACAATCCTTCCCAAATCCCAACAAAGTAGTAGAGATTATAGACAAGATCCTTCTAAAATTTAAATGGAAAGGCAAAGGAACCAGAACAGCTAAAAGGATTTTGAAAACGAATATAGTGGGAGGCATCAGTTATTTCAGGACTTATTCTCACCTCTAACAATCAAGACCATGTGATAATGGTAGAGGGAGAGACTCATAGATCGATGCAACGGAACAGAGAACCCAGAAATAGCCCCACCCAAGTACGGCCAACTGATTTCCAACAAAAGCAATTCAACAAATGGTGTTGGAGCAACTGGATATCCATAAGGGAAAAAAAACAAAACAAAACTTGAGCTAAATCTCACACCTGATACAAAAAAGTAACTCAACAAGAATCATGGACTTCAATGTAAAATGTAAAATTATAAAACTTTTAGAAAAAAAAAAAAGGGGAATCTTTGGGATCTAGGGCTAGGCAAAGAGCTCTCAGTCATGACACCAAGGGCACAATCCATAAAAGAAAAAAAATGGATAAACTGAACTTCTTTGAAATTAAAAACTTTCACTCTGCAAAAGCCCCTGTGAAAACAATGACATGTCAAACCCCAGACGGGGAGAAAATATTCGTAAGCCACATACCTGACAAAGGACTCCTATCTAGCGTAGACAGACAACTCTCCAAACTCAGCAGTAAAAAAAAAAAAACAAAAACAAAAAACAGACAAACCAATCTGGAAGTGGTAAAAAAACATGAAGAGGAGACCTCTCACCAAAAAGGACAGATAGGCGGCCAATAAGCACACGAAAAGGTGTTCAGCATCACCAGCCGCTGGGGAAATGCAAATGAGGACCACTGCGCACCTGCCAGAACGGCTAAAATACAAACCTGTGCAAATACTGCATGTGGGCCAGCAAGAGCGGAAACCGGATCTCTCATCGCGGCTGGTGGGGACGTAAGATGACACGGCCGCTCTGCACCATTGTTTTGGCAGTTTCTCAAAAAGCTAAACATACAAGCTCCATAGGACCCTGAACCAGCACTCGGCATTTATCCCAGAGAAATGAAAACTACGTCCACACAAAAACCTGTACACAATTGCTCAAAGCGGCTTTGTTTGTGATAGCCCCAAACTGGAAACAACTAAAATGTCCTAACATAGATGAAAGGTTCAAGTTAAAAAAAAAAAAAAAAAGCAGCATGTGTGTACTACTGGATGGCTGGGATATTATTCAGCAATACGAAGGAATGAACTACTGACAGACAAAACAACCTGGATGGATCTCGAGGGCATTATGTTGAGTGAAAAATATTTCAAAGGTCATACACCACATGATTCCATTTTTATGACATTCTTAAATGCCGTAATTATAGAGATGGAGAACGGATTAGTGATTGCCTGGAGTTAGAGATTGTTGTGGGGGGGGGTGACTATAAAGGTGTTGCCTGAGGTAGATCTTGGCAGTGATGGAATTGTTCTGTATTTTGGTTGCTATTACCCGAATCTACCAGTATGAGAAATGGACACAGAACTATATACACACACCCTGTCAATTCTGGTTTTGATGTCGCAGTGGAGTTAGGGAAGATCTAACCCTTGGGGCAAGCTAGGGGAAAGGTACACTTCTCTGTTCTACCCCTGCAACATCCTGTGAATCTGTAATTATTTCAAAATAAAAGTTTAAAAGTTGGGGAAAAGGTTCAAAGAAAGAAAATCCCATTTCTTAAATGTATCCCCTTAGGCTCTGCACACGAGTCCTAATTCTTTCCTTGGGGGCCCCCAAACTATATCTGCCGAGAGGTTTGCAGACAGTGACTCCATACCCGGATTCTGTTCTTCTGGCTGAGCGGCCCAAAGCACCTCCCCCATCCCTTCCCGAATCTTTTCAAATAGATGTATTTGCCTGAGCCCCCGAGAAATGTTCTTGGCGACATGAGGGATACTATTAATAATGCAGCTGGGGCCACAGGTGTAAACCACAACTGTCCCCAGCACGCTGGGGCATGCAGTCACAGACCACGCATGTTGGGCCAACAGGCAGCCAACGCCATGGCCTGGCCTGGGCCTCGGCATCTCCACTCTGCTGCAGGCCTGGCCTCAGGACGTCCTGGGTCCCAGCTACTCCCACGGCCAGAGCCAGTCTCTCTGCCTGACTGTGGGGGTCGGTCCAGGTTTCACAGAGCCCTCAGGGGGAGAGTCGCTGGGAGGGCATCCCACCCCAGCCCCCATTTCGAGGAGGGGGCAGCCGAGGCTGAGAGGGCAAGGGACCAGCTCAGTTCACAGAAAAGGTCCAAAAGACGACCCAGAACAACTTTTTTAGAGTCAAATGGCAGCTCACGATAACATCAGTCCCAGCTTCCCATTTCAAGCCCACAACAGAGTCCATTTAAATAAACAATGCTATGAAAGGAGAAGCCTGAAGGAAGTACTCACTTATGGAAATATACTTATACCATATTTATGTTCTTTCAACAAAGCAGTGACACCCAAAGAGCTATCTGCACGTTCTTTACGCTGCATTTTCCTTTGTTTAAGGTGACTTGGGGTGCAGGGGATGGACAACTAGTCCCTCTAAGAGAATGGCCTTGGCGGTGGTGGCAGGAAAGACTGTTCCTCCATTTTGTGAGGCGCTGTGGGGCAAGACTAGGGCGTTGGGCAGAGGTAGATCCACACGAAGCTAACAACACAGAAGCTTCAGGCTCCTCTCTGGCCCGGCCCCTTTATGGTCTTACACCTAATTTTGTGTTTTCTTCAAAAGAACCCCCCTAAATTTCGGAAGTCCCAAGCCCCACCAAACCGGATCTGCCCCTTTGAGGTTTTTATTTTCCCTTGGCTCCACACTGAGGAGAGCCTTGTGTCTGAGGGAAAGTGTGGACATCTCAACTAGAATAAGGAAGAAATGTCCACTTGCCTTGAGCTTCTCAGCAGCGTCTTCTATTTGGGTTATGTTGCCAACTTGCTGGTGCTTCTTGGCTTCCAACTGCTTTAAACATTCTTGGGTGAGTTTCTGTATGTGAAGGAGTTAGAAAAAATTAATACTGTGACTCCTGAGATAACAAGCCACCCCGGGGGTCATCTCCCACCCCTGTATTTTGCTTCAGTTGAGGTATCTGAGACTCAAAAGATGAGATGACTGGGCCCAGAGTCCCGGGGCAAACTGGAGGATGAGCTAGAACTAGAGTCCCTCTGATCCTCAGAGGCCCACGTCAGATATTCTTCAAACCTTGATGCCCCCTCCCTTGTTTCTACAATCCTACTTATGACCTGATTTTCTCAAATAGGATCTTAAGGCAAACTGCTTGGGGACGGGGGAAGAGCATTCACTTATAGAGTCAGTATTAACTGAGCACCTACTATGTGCCAGGCCCTGTCATAGGGGCTGCCCTCGTGGAATGTACATTCCAGGGAGCCTGTGGCCCTTTGGCCTGAACTGGGGTTCAGAAGACCTGCATGTGTGAGATCTGTGGGGGTTCATGCTCCCATCTCTCTCCCACCTGAAATGACTCCCTTCCATATCTCTGTTTTGTGACTGCCATTTTTCCACAGGTGTGCTCTGCGACCCTCTTCCCCACAGGTCTGACCCCACCTCTATCTGGACCTTCTTATAGCTGGCCTTACACTCAGCTGCGGGGCCCAGGTCTAGCTGCCCAGCCAACTGAAAGCTTTCTGAGGGCAGACCTGCTCCATTCCTGGCTCTGCCCCCAGGGACCAGGGAGTGACCCAGAAGCATCTGCTCAATTGAACACAATGACCAAGGGCTGCCAACTTCGAGTGGACAGCTGGAGCCACCCAGGAAGCTGTGAGGAGCACCAGCCCCAGAGTCACATGAGACCTCCTAGATCTGAGTCCTGGTTCCCCTTTCATGGGAACTGAGCGAGTGACTTCACTGCTCTAAACCTGTTTCCTCAGCTATAAACATGGAGCTAACCCCACAGCGTCGCCACAGAGAATGCGAAGTACACAGAGCACTGGGTGCAGTGCTTGGCAGGCACTAAGTACTCGACAGAGTTCTTACTGTCATTGTAACATCCAACAAGCATTTGCTGCTGTGTGCAGCTGTGTTCTAGGTAGTGGGTGGGGATGGAGACACGATGGGTAACCGAAATACAAGCCACAGCCTCAGGTTCCAGGAGCACATCCTTACCCCACTGTGATTTCTAAGCCTTCAAGTCTAGCTGCTGTCCGTCACCCACAGATAGCCCAGCCTCCTGGTGCCTGGACCTTCCAGTCCCAGGACGCTTCTCCTGTCAATGCTACCTGGTAAAATCCTACTCAGCCTTCAAGGACAGTTCCATTGGCACTCCTCCAGGAAGTCTTCCTGGGCTCCCTCTTCCTACTTCACATTGTCTTCTCTCCGGCTTCCCAATCACAATACTTACCACACCGTATTGTCACCATCTGTTCTCACCCCACCAGCCAGGGAACTCCTCCAGATGAGGGAAGAATTGATCTATTCCTTAGTTCATGGCACAAGGTATGTGCTGAATGGATGTTTGATGAGTGGATGGAAGGACGATGGATAAACAGGTGAGTGGGTTGATGTGTGAACACAAAATGAGTTCATAGGTAGGTAGGTAGGTGGGTGGACCTGCCCGTGAGACACCCAAGCCCTATCTCTGGAAAGCAGCCATGTTAACTCTGGAGACAGCCTCTGAGGAGCTATTATTATTACAACCATTATATAGATAAGAAAAGGAAGACCTTGGAGGCAGAGGCAGGCCTGAAACCCAGGACTCCACCAACTGGACCAGCCCCCACAGGGCCCATTTTCATCCTGGAGCTCCAAGGTTGTCACAATGTGAAGAGAAAGGTCATTAATCACAGAAGACTTCTTGGAGGAGGAAGTGGTAGACTCTCCATCTGTCAGAGACAGGAAGGCCTGCCTATCCCAGGGAGGCAGGCAGATTTGACCAGAGCCACAGAACAAGTTGTCCCCAAGGCTGGAACAAAAGTCTAGAGCCCCTGACCACTATTAGGATTCCGCACGGGTGAGGGCTCCAAGGTGAGAATGGGCCAGTGGGGGCAATCCAGCTGTGGAGTCCTGGGGTCAAAGCCAGCCTCAGCTTCCAGAATCTTCCTTTACTTATCAATAAAATGGCTGTCACAGCTCCCCACAGGCTGTTAAATGCGTGGAACAGGAACTGGCACAGAGGGGAAGGGTGGAGGGGAAGGGTGGAGTGGGTGGCTGGAGGCCCCTCCTAGGGCAGGCAGTCAAGCACTCCCCAGCCCCCGCCTGTGAACTCCAGGAGAGAAAACCAGAGATATCTGGGTGGCTTTTCATCTGCGTTAAAGGGCAGACCTGGGGCGCCTGGGTGGCTCAGTCGTTAAGCCTCTGCCTTCGGCTCAGGTCATGACCCCAGAGTCCTGGAATCGAGTCCCACGTCGGGCTCCCTGCTCGGCTGGAAGCCTCCTGCTCCCTCTCCCACTCCCCCTGCTTGTGTTCCCTCTCTCGCTGTGTCTCTCTCTGTCAAATAAATAAATAAAATCTTTAAAACAAAAAGGGGGGGGGCAGACCTTCTTCCAACCCAAGGGCAGTGTGGTGGACCCGCCGTGGTGGACGAGGTCAAGGACATGTGCGTATCAGCCGGGACTGCCAAGTTCTCCCAATCCCACCTCCTCTGAAGCTTGACCTGGCCGCCGACCCGGCACGCCCCTCCCCGGCCGTTGCGCCCCCCGCGCGCCGCCCGCGTAACCCACCTGCACGTGCACCGCCTCCTCCAGCGCCAGGCCGACCGGGTGGCCGCGGTGCGCGCCCAGCACCGGGCAGAGCGCGCAGACGCAGCGGCGGCAGCTGCGACAGAAGAGCTCGGCCACGCGGTCGCCGTGCTCCGGGCAGCGCCAGCCGCTCGCGTCCTCGCGCTCCGCGGGGCCCGGCTCCCCAGGTGTCCCGCTCTGCGCCCCTGCGCCCGCCATTCAACCCTCGGGTTCGGGCGGCCGCGGTGCGGGGGAGGGGCTCCCGCGGAGAATCGAAGGCTGGGCGGTGGGGCGGGGCGGCCCCGGGCCGGCCCAGCTCCCGCAGGAAGGATGGCTGCGCGCGCCCGGCCGGGAGTAGCTGCCGTCTTGGCGCCATGTTGCCCCGCGGGCTGCGCGCCCGCCCCACCCGCCCTGGCAGCTTCCGCGGCGCGGAGGGCTCAGGCCCAGCCTAGCGGCTCGGAGGTGGCCGCAGCCGAAGTGGGGCTCGCTCCCGGTGGGCAGCCTTAAAGGAGGTGGGCTTCCCCGCCCAGTCTTGCGAGTCCAGTCACGCTCGGGCAACCGCAAGCCCTGTCGGCTGTGGCCTCCCCCGGTGGTGTGCATTACCGACACCTTCCACTTCCCCTTGATTCTCTCTGCCCTTTCCCCAGGAGAAATCACCATTCCCACAACTGTCAGAATCACTCTGGAAACTCTGATTGCCCCAGGCTGTCTCCGCGTCCACCAAATGTAAATTACTACAGCCAACATGAGAAGCACTATCGAGTTTCCTCAAAAAATGAAAAATGGAACTACCCCATGATCAGCAATCTCCCTTCTGGGTATATATGGGAAGATTATGAAGTCAGTATCTGGAAGCGATATCTGCACTCCTGGGTGCACTGCAGCATTATTCACAATAGCCAAGACGTGGAAACAACCAGTGTCCTTCCAGGAATTAATGGATAAAGATGTGCTGTGCGTATATACGGTGAAATGTTATTCAGACCTAAAAAAGGAAATCCTGCCCTTTGCCACATGGATGAGCTTGGAAGACTTTATGCTCAGTGAAATAGGCCAGGCAGAGAAAAACAAATACTGTTTAGTTTCACTTCTATGTGGAATCCAAAGAAACAAAAAAACAGTTGAACTCCTAGCAACAGAGTGGAATGGTGGTTGCCCGGGGCTTTGGGGGTGGGGTAAAGGGTACAAACTTTTAGTTGTAAGCTGCCTTAGTTCTGGGGATCTAAGGTACAGCCTGGTGACTATAGTTAATAATACTATACTGTATACTTGAAATTTTCTGCGTGTAGATCTCAAGTGTTCTCACCACACACTATGTGAGATAACAGATGTGTTAATTAACTTGATGGTGGTAATCATTTCACAAGGTATACATATATTAAATCATCACATCGTATACCTTTAAAAATCATGTACCATCTAAATATATACAACTTTTGTCAATTGTTATCTCAATAAAGATGGAAAAAAAATTCTCAGTTCCTATCCTTGGCTCTTAATACCTTTGATCCCTGCCCTGTCTATGCTCTCTACCTTTTGTTTCCAGACCAGGGAATAGGCAGTTTTCTCTTCTTGGGACCTCTCTTCCCCAAATACCCTTTGCCCTGCCTACTTCTATTTATCCTTCAGGCCTAAATATGGCCTCCTCCAGGAAGCCTTCCTTGCTTCTCTCCCAGAGCAGCCCACACTTCCCCCATCCTGGCCCTCCTCTTCCTTCCAACCATGACTGAAAACTTCAGAGGGCAGGGACCAAGTCTGTTTTATCTGTTTCCCAGCCTGGTCTCTGGCCCAAACAAGTAGATACTTAATTGGTATTTGTGTAACAAATCAAGAAAAGGAAAGCTCCAGGTATTAAAATCTCTAGGCAGATGTTATTATTTTGTTACATTCTTTCCATTGTATGATTTCACATCTATTTATTTTCACTTTTATTTCTTATTTATTTATTTTTTTTACAAAGGTAAAAGGAAGTTCAGAAACATTACAACAAACTGTTTCAGGCACGGTTTCATATTAAAAGCATAGATCTATTTTTGATTTCCTTCTTCCCTCTATGATACAATCTTAAATTTAGTTCCAGGAAGAACATTCATTGTAGAGCTAAGGTGGATATGCCCCAGTGCTCATCTTCCAGTGCTGTCTTCATTCTCAGAAAGCTCCTGAGTCAACAGTCAGGGGGCTCCCAGAGTATGGAGTAAAGAGATGAGTGCACATTCTGCTTGTCCTGAGTGTGCCGGCCTGGCCCTACAGATGCTGGGCAACTTCTACTTCATCAGTCAGGAACATAAACAAAAACGCAATTTTAAAAAATGGCTTAAAAAAATATTTGATAAAAATTACCTATCCCTCTCCCTTGCTGTGAAATAATTTAAATAATTTATTCTAGTTAAAAAAAAAAAAAAGCAAACCCAAAAAAGTTTGTTCACAGATGCCTTCACATTGTTTTTAAGCATGAGGTCTGGGTCCCTTAAGGGGTAGGGACAGCTCAAGAAGGTTCTGTGCAGAGGAGGCATTCGGGACGCTCCCCAGACTCAGCTCCCCCTCCTGTTTGCAGCCAGTGCCGGTGGGAGGGATACTTCTTCATTCTCTGAGAATGACATGGGGATAGTGTCATTATTCTGACCAGGGGGATGATGCCTGCCTGGCCCATGTTAGAATTAGAGCTGGGTGTGCCCGGGAAGCCCATCCAGGGGAGCTCTGTTCCCTCACAACCCCTGGGATTTGGCCTTGGTGAGCCCCAGTGACCAAGTCAACAAGATAGGGATGAGAGTGTCTGGCATGTGTAGGCAGACAATGGGTCAGAACCATGGCTAGGGGAGGGGGTACTCAGGGGTCGAGAGCCCTCATTGAGTTGTAGCCAGGGGTCCCAGAGAGACATGGGACAACGCTTCCAACCTGGACTTAGAGGATGGAGTTGGAGTCCCGGAGCCTGTCTGAGGCTCACTGTCCTCGTCTCTACTGCAGTTACGTACAGATGGGCTAGCCCAGCGGCTCTCCATCCTCGCTGTACTGCAGAATACCTGGGAACTTATAACAACACACACAAAGCCAGGCCCTACTCTGGAGACGCAGCTTCAACTGGTCTGGGGTTGGGATGGGGCATCTGTATTTCCCGAACCCTGCTAAGAGAACTCTCATGTACAGCCTGCATTGAAACCCACCAGGTTAGGTGGCCTCCTCAGTCCCCATCTTAGCTCCAGGACTGCCCTGTGCAGTGGGCAAAACCCCATCGCCTGCACCTCCTCGGTAAGGAGGGGGTACATTTAATTTCCAACATTCTCCATCTCGAGCTAGACTGCTGTACTGACCACTGAGAAAGAACCTTACGAACGGGCTCAGAACACGGACTCCCAAAGGCGGGACATATAAAAACTCTCAGGCTAGAAGGGAACTTCAGGGTCATCCGGCCCTACTCCCTTGCCTAGTGCAGTCATCCCTCTCCAGAAGTGGGTGGCCATGGGGCTCTGCTGGCATCCTGCAGTGCTGGGGCTCCCTACCTCCTGGACCAAAATCTGCCTATATCCTCCTGAAGCGGGCAGGCTCTGTGGCCTGAGGACTTTGGGGGTGGCAGTCCGCGGTCATGGGAACCACTCTGATGTCTCCTCCCCCACATAAGGGATGGTGTCTGCCCATACTTGGCTGATTCTGGTTGAAGAGAGGATGGTGTGGGAGCCTCCTATCTATGTTCTAGCATTGGGCCAAAGTTTGACTTATTTCCCCGCAGTTAAATCTCCTCTGCCCATTCACCAATGTCTTGGGAGTTCCTACAGCAGACCCTGATCATCACCCTCTCGGTAGTTTTCCTTAGGTCGAGGCCAAGGTTTCTCATCTCAGGTGGCAGACCCTGTAGAGGGCAGCACACCCCAGGGTCCCCCAGGTTCAGTTGGAGAAACTGAGACCAGAGAGGGAAGGACTTGTAAGAGGTCACTGCACAAATCAGGGGCACAGCCGAGGCCAGAATAAACGGATTCCTGCCCTGTGGGCTGAGAGCTGCATCAGACCAGAAACAGCAGAAAGACAGACCTAGCAGACCAGAGGCTTGACCCAGCCCTGCCATGAACCCTCTGCGGACCTTGATCACTTCTCTCTGAGCCTCAGTTTCCCCACCTGTAAAATGAGGAAGTTGGGCCAGATCACTGTTTTTCAAACTTCTAAAGATTGTTTCAGAAGCAGAATTACTTATTCCACAGAAGCCAATATATAAATCAGAAAGAAAGGGAACTGTCTGGTTGAAGCAGGCTGGAGGGGGGGCACAGCCCTCCTGCTTAGGCTTCCTCCCATTCTGTGGACCACAGTCCAAAAATCACAGGCAGCTTCCCCTCTTAGGTCCTTCCAGCTCTAACTTTATTCTTTCCCTTGAGAAGTTATAGCTCATCGTGGACCCTTAAACACAAAATTAAACAGAAGGCAAGTTACTGTCTACAAAGAGTCACTTCAGACACTTGTTTTGAGAAGGCAAATAGAAAAACGGCACCACATCCCTCCCACTAGAATCTTTCAGCAACCGCGAGTTTTCGTTTTCTGGTAAAAAATATAGAAATAGTGGTTGTTCTTGGGGGACTTGTGGTTTGGTTCTGGACCTCCCCATGGAGCCAAGTGGTGTCCCTGAGGGTGGGGAGGGCAGAGGTCTCTGCTCAGAACCTCTCTGAGCCCATCCGCGAGTTTTTGACCTCCAGTTCCAACTGTTTGGCCTGCACCTCACGCTGGGTCAACAACTCCCGGAGTCTTCGGATCTCCTCCTGTTGTCGATAGAACATCTGCAGCAGCTGGGAAAGCACAAACAGAGGGAGTGATCACTCCATGTCCCAGGATGTGAGGGGTCAGAACACCAGCAGAAAGGACCAAACTTTGCCCCCTTTTCACACAGAAAGGTGGAGGCGATGAACATGGCTGAGGCTCGAGGGAGCAAGCACTGAACGGGCCTTTATAAACCCTTTTCTTCACCCACTAAACGGAAATTTTAGACAACTCGATGTTTCAGACCTTTCTTTGCCTCCTTAGATCCCCTGTGGACTAGAGGAAAGGGCGCTTGGCCCTGAAGTCTGGAGACTGGAGTTTTCACCACTAAACTAGCTAAACTATGTGACCTCAAGGCAAGTTACTCATCCTCTCTGAGTTTCAATTTCCTCCTCTAGGAACTCGGGGTCAGAAGATGAACCTGGGCATTAGCATCACTGCTGCGCTGTAGAGAATCGGAGCAGACGCTGGGCGCTCCCCCTAAGGATGTTCGAGAAGCCACTGCATGCTCACCACACCCCTACGAGGGGGGTAGTGTTAGCATCGCCCCCCACCCCCATCCGTGCCACTGTGGAAACTGAAGCTAAGAAAGATCCGGCCCCTGGCTCTGAGGTCCTCCTGTCATGGATGCTCAGCAGGGGCAGGCTCAGAACTCCTCTGTGAGATGCCAGCCCCTGTGTTTTTAGCCACTCCATACTGACTCCCAGGGATGGGGAACGAATTCAGTCAGGTGACATACCACAGTGCCCACCACAGGACCTGGCACGTGGTCGGCACTTAACAAATGTCGACTCTGAAACAGATAATCCTAGGGTCAGAACTGGGAGGGACCCTAATACCAAATCAAACCCTCTGCATCTTGTAGATGGTTTTCCACCACCTGGATGTAAACCCGCCATCTTGGCAGACATACAGCGCTCACTGCCTGTTTGGTGAATGAAGTCACAGAGTGAGGCAAGCGGCCAGGCCAGGCCCCACCGCTGGTTGTTGTCACCCCTCCTTTTCTCCCCACCATCCCAGGGCAGGCACCACCCTCCTCGTTCACACCTCGTTCTCTGTCTTTGGTGGGGGACACTCCATGTCAAAGCCGTTTGTGAGCCGAGCTGTCTTCTCTTCCGGCCTGCGTTCTGCTGCTGCCTGCCTGGGCGCCTTCTCCTCTGGCAGGGAGAAGGATCTCCGGCCATCTTCTACAACCACCTTCTCTGTTTGGTTGGAGGGGGCCGTGGAGACGGATGGGGGTCTCTCTGGGAGCAGCAGCTCAGGGCTCAGCAGCTCAGAGCAGGGCCTCAGGGACACCATGACTGGCTCTGGGAGGGGAAGCAAAGGGCTGTGTGAGGCCTGAGTGCTCACGAGCAGATGCTGACACACACAGGCACCGAGCCTCGGGACAGGAGTGGAACTCTGGCCACATGCAGACGGGAACCAGCCCGCACACCAGGGCAGCCAGAGTGCAAACACACACTCATGTGATTATCGAAGCGAGGCCTGGTTTGCAGGGGCAGCAGAGTGCACGCCCTGGAGCAGCCCCCAAACACGGCAAATGCCTCCAGTGGAGCCTCGTCCTTGCTTTGTAGGGACAGTCCCACACGCACTGCGCTCCGCCGTCTACCAGTTCATGAATCCTCCCCCCAACCCTGAGAAGCAGGGGAGGCAAGGTATCAGTCACAGAAGAGGCAAGAGGCCCAGAGAGGAGCAGACCAAGTGTTACGCAAAGGGGAGGCAGAAGGAGCGGGAGGTCCCAGCCACAGGGACAGCCACCGGCGTGGGGCCGAGGAGCACACGTTCCTTCCCCTGGGCTGGCCCTTAGGTGGACAGGACCAGGAGGGCATCGGCACACGGGACAAGGGCCTGGGGCGGGGGCGGGCAGTGGGGAGCTGCGGCCTAGAGGGTCTCTTAGGTCGAAAAGTAACTGAAAAGGTGGGCGGAGGGGGGGATGGGCAAAGGCACCCAGCTGTGACTACCCACTCACTCCGCACAGCCTGGAGGTTCAAGAAGTTTTCCATGAAGCAAAATCCCTCGATTTGGAAAGACTTTCCTGACACTTGGGACAACCCCTGCCTTCTCTGACCCGTACGTAACCGTCCTAGCCTCTGGGGACTGGCTGTCAAGGACCAGCTGGCTGGGGTTATGGGAGAATACAACCAGAGGCCACGTGCCTCTCGGCTACCGGGGCCACTGCACACTCCCATTTCCCCTCACGTTCACACGGGGCCTTTTGTCTGCCCCCCCTCACCTTTATTCATGCCACGGAGCCACTCCTGGGCTGTCAGGGACGGCCAGGCGCCTGCCGTGGGCGGGTAGATGTCCTCCTGATAAGACTCCGACTGTAGGAAAAGCCAGCACAGTGAGGGCTGGGGTGGCAGAGGGGCCACCCAGATGGGAGGGCCCTCAGGGGTCTGGGGTCCAGGCTTTCCCCACCTAGGAGTTGAAGAAGCCAAGGCCCAGAGAGCAAAGGGACATGCCCAAAGTCACAGAGCAACTCAGGAGCAGAGATAGGGTGGGACTCGGGACCCTTAGCTCCCAGCAACACTGCACTGACAATGAGAAAGGCCTTTCCCTTGAAAAGTGGCCATCAGCCTCCTTGCTGCTACCCCAGGGGCATGGGCTCCGGGCTCCAGGTGCCAGGGCCTGTCCTCTCCAGGAGGGGTTCCCACCTCCCTCACAGATGGCCACACCACCCTTACCCGCCGGGGTACAATCATGGATATAGGCTCAATGAGGCCTTTGCTTGTAATCAGCTTGTAGAAGCGGAAGATCTCGCAGGAGGTGACGTCGAGACCTCTCTTTGGCATGACACCTGCGGGCAGATGGCCAAGGAGGGCTCAGAGGTTCTGGCTGGGCTGGGGTCACAGGGACCCAGGGTGAGTGGCAAAGCCAGACTGCATACCTGGGCACGAGCAGAGAGCACCCTCCTCCCACCACCCTTCCCTCTACAGACAGTTCATGAGCAAATACCTACGCTGGGCTGGGTCCTGTGCTTGGAAAATGGGGTTGAAGTAATCAGACTTGGTCCTCACCTCCAAGGACTTCAGTGATTTTAGCTAGACTTTAGGGGAAGCGTGCTCTGCTCAAGGCCCTCCCTCACCACCCCCTCAGCTTGTGCCCGAGCTGCTCTGGACAGAGCTCCTGCCCCTGTTTTCTGTTGATTAGTGCTAGCATGGTGTCTTTCTCCTTCCCTTTGCCTTTAATCTAGCTGTGTCTTCATGTTCAAGTGGGTTTCTTATAGACAACATGGAGACGTGTCTTGTTTTGTTTTGTTTTTATCCCCAGATACACTTTCAAAGCAGGGGCTCTCCTAGGTCAGTCTCTCTTATGTCATGGCTACTGTTGTAACTGCTCCACCTTGGCCTAGAAACGCCTTCATTCTCTCCCCATGCTGTGCTCTGCTCCCCTTTTGGCTCCTCAAGTGTTGCCTTCTCTGGAAAGCCTTCCTTGACTTGCTGCTGCTTGCTCCCAGAGAACCTCCTGCACACCTCCATTAGAGCTCCCATAGAGTCAGTGTTGATCCTCCATCTGCCCTCTTGAATGGGGGCCCCTCCGGGGCGGGGCCCTCATCTGACTCGGTCCTGTCTCCCCAGGCCCCACGTGGCCTCAGTGTTCCATACTCACCCATCCCCTTCTGTGGGCTATGGGAGCGGTATTCTGTCAGGTAGCTCAGGTGAGGTTTGTCGGCGCTCACCTCATAGTAGCGGATGTTTCCATCTCCCTGAGGAGGGGGAGGGTACAACTCAGAGCCACTTCCCATCGGCCCCCTCCTGGCCCCCGCGGCCATGTAGCAGATACCCAGTGTTACAGCGAAAGAAGCACTGGCAAAGCCACTCCACACAAGAGAACACCAGGGAGCTGTCATCAAAGCAGCAGGGGGTCCTCATTTTAACACTCGATTGCCCCAACCATGACCCAAAGCCCCCCTCTGTGCCTCCAAGGCAGAAGCTCTGGGAGCACCGGCCTGAGTCCCAGTCCCAGCTGCACATAAAGGTCAGGAGTGGTGGGTCCTGAGATCACCCAGTGGGTTGCACCGCTGGGGCATTTCTCGTTGTCGCTGTGCTGGTGACCGGGGAGGGGTAGGGGGCAGGGAGCGCTGCTCCAGGCATTGGTGGGTGGGAGCTACAATGTCAAGTACAGGATGGTCCCACCCAATGAAAACCTGCTCCACCCCAAATTCGAAGGTACCCCTATTGAGAAAATACCGACGGTGCCTCCTCATCTAGCCCCAGAACTGAGGAGCGACAAGCTTGGGGTGTCTGACCAAAGCCCTGGCCCCTGGGAGCCAGGACAGTGGGATGGGGTACCGTGTTCACCACAGGGAGATTCCTGCTCGTCCCTAGCCCTGCCCTGCATCCCAAGAGCCCCCGGCTGCTGTCTGACTAGCGGTAGGGTTAGGCTGGGGAAGTCCTGCTCCCTCCCATGCCAGGCTGACCTTCCCCACCACGTAGAGCATGTTGGTGTCCACATCATAGAAGGGAAACAGCACGCCCGAGGAGCCATCCAGGTCCACCTCTGAGAGAGGCTTGGAGAGGTTGTCCTGCAAGGAAAGAGAGACCAGGAAGGCCTGTGGGTCACTCCGGGAGCTCCTCAGTGGTGTTCTCGGAGATGGGAATGCCTGCCAGGGGGTTCTGGGTGAGTGTGAGTGTGTGCGCGCGCGCGCACACGTGCATATGCACGTGCATGTGAGAGGGAAGGAGACAGAGGGAGAGACCACCACCTTTTATTCTGCCGGCATTTTGCCTTCAACCCATCACCTCTCACACACCTGCTCGCACGCCAGCCCTTCTCTGCCTGTGTATTTGTTGTGAAAGGTGAAGGAGGAGGTTCAGAGAGAGGAAGCGATTTGTCCGGTCTTTGAAACTCTAGCCAAGGGCTCCTTCAAATCAATACTGCTTGGCTTGGCCCCTACCCTCACTGCCCTCAGCCACTCCCCCTGCCCACCTGCCTCAGTGTTCGGTTCTAAGCCTGTGCTCCAGCTGTTCCTTCTGCCCAGAGGGACATCTCCTCTCTCTCCCCCCACCCCCTGCCCTGTCCTGCTACTTGGAGTGGCCACCTCCCCCCTGACTCCAACACCACGGCCCATTCCCTCCTTGAAGGAGAAGATGCACAAGGTCTGGGCTTGCTCTCTCTGGCTGTTGGCATCCCCCCATTTTCCATCCCTGCATCCTTAGCACCAGGCAGGCTATGCTAAGTACATGCTTGAGCAATGGGTAGGGCATGAATGAAGGAGTGAATGAATGAAGCCAGCACTCGGCTGAAAGGTGATGGCGAGGGGCAGGGCAGGGCTGCACGGGAGACTCACCTGGTCCCACACGGCCAACTGCCGGTTGTTCCATCGGGATGTGCCTGTGGACAGCAGCTTATTCAGGTGCCCCAGAAACAGCACTTTATTGGCCCGGTGCTCCGTGCAGTTGGCTTCCTGGACGGATACGTGCGGTCAGGGGCTCGTGGGTGGCAGCTAGGGGCTCTGGCCTCCCTGCTTTTGCTGCTGCCGCTGCGGTACCTGAAATGCCTTCCTTGCTCACCACCTAGCTCTGCTCTGAGAATCTTTCCAGAGGCACCACCTCCGGGAAGCCTTCCAGAGACCCTCCCATCCACATGGAGTCGCTCCTACTATTTTTGCTGAGAGTTCTTTTCCTGAGCTAGGATAGAGCTCCGTGTTCTTGCTGAAAGATGCCTGAGCGCTCACTGTATGCAAGGCCTGGGACTGGGAGGGCATTGTCACCTGCATTATCTCGTTCAATCCTCCTGGCAGATGGGGAAACAGAGGCTCAGAGAACAGGAAGTGCTTGTCTACGGTCACACAGCAGGCAGGCAGGAGTGACATGCCTCCTGACAGAGCTAAGGCACACTGACAAGTTCTGGAGTTAGACCAGGTTCAAAGCTCAGCTTTCAAGGTGGGCAAGTCACCTGACCTCTTTTCAGCTTCTGTTTTCCTCATCCAAAGAATGGGGGTGACATATCCTACCTCCCAGCGGTGCCAAGAGGACAGACAGAGCTAGCACATGTGAAGGCTTGGCCACAATGCTGACAGCATTACCACACTGTTCTCCGAAGCCTCCCCCAGCCCCTCATCGCTCCTTGCTCCTCTGCCCCCAAGCCAGACCCCAGCCCAGCACAGACCTGGAGGACGGCCCCTGCACGGGGGTCGAGAATCCGAATCTTGCGGTCTTTACAGGTGGTGGCCAGCAGGCTGCCGTTGGTGTTGAAGGACATGGAGAGGATCGTGCCTTGGTGGCACGTAATCGTCCGCACGGGGTTCATGATTACAGACTCCTTTGTGTCCAGGTTCCAGACCATCACCTGTACAGCAATGAGCTGGCTCTGAGCACAGCGGCCACCCCCGCCCCTGGCTCCCACAGTCGCACGCCCACCAGGCTGCAGTGAAACACTGTATCCCCAGGAGGGAAGCCGCAGATGGCAGTCTGGCCAAGAAGCCTCGGGTGGGAGGATGGATCTGCCGGCTGAAGCTGCCACGTGGCAGGAGGGGAAGCTGGGAGTCAGGCTGTCTGGCGGTGAAAAGAAAACACCATCTGCTTTGGAGCAACAAACCATCCATGCTGGGAGGACCCCAGGGGACGAGCTAGTCCAGGGGCTTTCACACACTTATTAGCAGCAGTTTCCACCTCACACAGATAAACAGGGCTGCCATGTTCAGCTGTGTAGGTTGTGCACTGCACAGCTCCAGGGCAGTCGGTTCCCATAGCCCGTGACGTGACCTGCGCCCTGTGGGGTTGTGTGCAGAATAACTTGCACAACCATATACGGCAGCCCTGCAGACACATCCTACATAAACAGATAAAAGAGTGCTTCTGATCAGAAGGGGGTCAGACGTTCTGTCAACCACTCCCATCCCACCCTTTATCGATTACAGAGGTGCCCAAAGTGACTCTGTAAAGCCCTCTGTTGTGAAGGGGAGAGTTTAAAAGCCATGGCTATGGTCACACCAACCCCATTTGTGTACAAATTGAAAAACTGAGGCCTAGAGAAGACAAGGGACTCTCCTAGTTCCTACTGCAAGGCAGAATCTAGGGCTCCTCCACTATGAATTTTCCCAATCCCCAGGGACCACAGACTGCCAGCTTGGCAGTCAATGGGGCAGTGGGAAGCTTCTCTGGATAGGGCCCAGCCTATCCCCTCCAGGAGGACTAATGGGTTGAATAGTGTCCCTCCCAAAACTCATGTCCACTGGAGCCTCAGAATGTGACCTTATCAGGAAACAGGGTCTTCGCAGATGTAATTAGTTATGATGAGGTCATACTGGATTGGGGTGGACCCTACATCCAATGACCGGTGTCCTTATCCGAAGATGAGAGGACACACAGAACCACAGAGGAGAAGGTCATGTGAAGCTGGAGGCAGGCTGAAGTGCTGCAGGTGCAGGCCAGGGAATGCAGGGAGCCACCGGAAGTTACAAGAGGCACAGGAGAATGCTTCCCTAGGGTCTTTGGAGGGAGTGTGGCCCTCCTGACACCTTGATTTTGGATTTCTGGTCTCCAGAACTATGTGAGAATAAATTTCTGTTGTATTAAGTGCCCAGTTTGGTCATGTTAGGGCGGCCCCAGGAAATGAGTGCATGGACCCACCTTGAAGTCGTAGCCAGAGCTGAAAAGGATGTTGGCGGCCGTGGGGTGCCACTCCACCAGGCCCACCCTGCGGGTGTGGCCCATCAGCTCCTTCTTGCAGGCTGTGAGGTTCCTTGTCAGCAGCTGCTTGGGGATGTCCCAGATCTTAATCTTTAAGGGGAGACACAGGCGGCGGGGGAGGGGGGGCACGTTGTTAGCCAGGTCACCTTGGTACCCTGGCCACCCTAAGCCACAGAACTGGCAGTGCCCAGCAGAAGGGCCAGGGGAGCGCTCTCCATATGCATCTCACTCGGTGGAAGCGCACCTGGAACCCTCAGAGGGTCAGAGGCTTTGCCAAGGTCTTCCGGCCCAAGCAGGGGCTGGCATTGCCAGAGTTGAGCCCCGGCCTCCAAATCTGCCTCTTGGTAATAAGCTTTGCCATCCTAATGGCCTGTGTCGTGGGCAGCTGGGCGGGGCACAGGCCTGACTCCCAGGCCGGATGTCAGATCAAATCCACCTCCCAGCCTAGAATATCTGTCCCTCAAAGTACAGTTGTCTACCCCTTCCTTGTCCCAAAGGCTCAGGCTAGAGTCCCAAATGCCCGGAGCAAGAGTTTGTGCTCTGTCATCAGAACACTAGGGAGCCAGGGCAGTCTCCGGAGCAGGACAGGATGGGGCCAAGCTCTTTCCTCCGGAGTGGCCCCCTTGGATGGCCTGAAAGAGGAAAGATGCAGGGCCAGAAGGGCAGGCTGGATGGGGTCATGGCCTGTATTTCACAGGAAGGGTCTGGGAAGAGGAGATGGGGCTTCCTTTCAGAGTAGTGTTGCCAAGGAAGGAAGAGGCTTCCACAGAAGAAAGCAAGGTCCCTGTTAAAGAGGCGTACAAATGGAGCTGGGGAGCGGGGGGTGGGGGGCACAGAGGGGATGGCAGAAACTTGATGTTCTTTGTCGTCCTTCAGAGCTCTCAGGCGCCTAGGTGACTATACATCCCCTTTCCCTCAGAGATACACAAGGTTTTCAGGTAGACTTTGCTTTCAATGCAACACGTATTCACTCCCTGGTCAACTGGATTTAACCCCAGGAAGGCAAGCCCATGAGTGCCAGAGGTTCCCGATGAGGCGCTGGGTGAACGCTATGATTGCACGGGACCGGTAGCCGCTGAACGGTGGACTCGGGCAGATCTGTGTGCAGATACCATCCCCCATGCTCCTCAGAGCTAGAGGGCCAGCCCTGCCCCATGGGTGCCGGGGACAGGGAGGACACAGCCGAGCACTTTCCATGCGAGGGCCTGGGGTTAGGCACTGCCACGCCCCTGCCCAGAGCCAGGTGCACTCCTCCTGCCCCTGGGGCATCTGGGAAGGAATGGGGGCAGGAGATGAGGGTAGCTAGGAATTTCATAAAGACCTTGAAGGGGGTCTTCAGAGCAGGCCTTGAAAAGGCAGGTATTCTAGGAGTGGGGACAGACTCCGGTACTGGTTATCCCGCCCCTGGAGACAAGGCCAATTCTCCCAGGGCCTGACCGTGTCTTCAGTGAAACTACCTCAGCAGACGCTGTCCTTTATGCTCCTTGGCATCCCCTTGTGCAAAGTGACACAAGTCCTCTTAGAATTTTCTACTTGCTTCTCCTGAGGAACTGCTCTGTTTCCTTTCATCAGACAGTGAGGGTTCCGTAATACATTCTATTTCCCTTTTTGCCTTGACTGCTAGGCAGCTCTGAGCTAAACCTGGAGCTCAGCAGTTGCAACCCTTCACAGCCAACGTCCCAAGGATCATTTCTTCAATTCCTCCATCCGTGGCATCTGCTATTTAGGGAAGGGGCATAGCTCAGTGGAGATATATTGGGCTCTGGAATCAAGCCTTAGTCTGAGGCCTTGCTCAGCATCCACAGCCTGTGTGACTTTGGGCAAACTGCTGAACCTCTCAGATGCTCAGGTTCTCCATAAGAAAAATATCCTACCTTGTGGGGTTGCCAGGAAGACAGGGTGAAATAGTGAGAGTCAGGACCGTGGGCTGTGTCTTTTGTTTTAAGCCACACTCACTGCATTTTAGAGGTGGGCACAGAATAAATTATAAATAACATCGAACACTGTGGGGAGCAGGGATTATGACCCTGGTACAGAACAGGGGCTCAAAAAGTTGGTGGGGCTGAAGCTTTGGGGATGGTTGTGGTGCCCATATTCATATAAGGATTCCACTTCTATCCTTTTACAGCTCCCTTTCCCCACTGTCTGTGAGATTAAGTGTCACAGTATTTTCTGGCAACAACAAAAAATGCTCCTCACACCATTTTATAGTTCCCCCAGAAGATGGGCTTTTCCACTGGACTACGAGTCTCATTGGATCCTCATTAGATAGTTGGGAGCTATTATGCCCATTCTAGAGGTAGTGGGACTGAGGTCCAGAGAGAAGATCTAAAGGGGTGGTGCCCCAAGTCCCAGAGCCCAGAACTTCTCCCCCACAATCTCACTGAGCCCCTCCCCGCCACAGTGACCTCACCTCATGAAGGATCAGGGCATCAGGAGCATCAGAGCCCAGAACAGACACCATTCCACCTCCCCGTGCCCCAAGCCCCCTCCTCTCGGGAAAGGGAACCGCCTCGCGCGCTGACACTCACTGTGGTATCTTCAGAACAGGAGGCGATCTCAAAATCATTAAAAGGATTCCACTTGATGTCTAAGACGTTCCCTCTGTGCCCGCAGACCCTTGGGTAGTGGGGGTCCAACTTTCCTGTCTGCAAAACAGTGCCCAGGAGTGTTGGGGAGAAGAGGGGGCTAACTCCACTTAAGCATCTGGACAGTCCCTCGGCAGTCAGCAATCACTGAGTAGACAGGAAAACGTAAGGGACAGACGGGGTGGGAGTCTAGGCCCGAGCACCATTCTCTGTGTGATGCTGGGGGGGGTCACATCACTTCCCTGAGCCTCAATGTCTTCCTCAGTAAAATGAAGGCAATAATAGGTATTTCCCAGGGTTCACATGAGGCTCACAGGAGATGAGGTGTGGAAAGGGTCTAGCACAGTGCCTAGCACATAGTAGGTAATCAGTAGAAGGATATTTGCCCTCAGACACTGCTGGTGGGAATGCAAAAATGGTGCAGCCACTTTGGAAAACAGTCTGGCAGTTCCTTCAAAGTTAGACATAGAGTTACCATGTGACCTAGCGATTCCACCCCGGGGTATATCCCCAAGAAAAGTGAAAACACAGGCCTACAAAAAACTCACATACCAATGCTCATAGCAGCGTTATTCACAACAGCCAAAAGGTGGAAACAAACCAAATGTCCATCAATGGATGAATGAATATACAAAATGTGGTATATTCATATAATGGAATATTATTTGGCCAAAAAAAAAAAAAGGAATGAAGAACCAACACATGCTACAACATGGACGAACCTTGAAAACATGCTAAGTGAAAGAAGTCAGACATAAAAAGCCACACATTGCAGGACTCCACATAAATGACCAGATGTGGTACCAGACGCGGTTTCCTTCTTAAGAGCAAATTAATGCATCTTTTGGTACCCAGTCTTCAGAACCCTGACTAATACCTGAAAACAGGTAAATCCATAGAGACTGAAAGCAGATTAGTGGTTGCCCAGGCCCCGGGGGGTGGGGGGGGGGACAGGAGGAGGGTGACAGGAAGTGACCACTAATGGGTACGCTGTTTCTTTGTGGGGTGACGAAATTATTTTGAATATTTTGTGATGTTTACACAAGCATGTGACTATATTAAAAACCTACTGAATTGTACATTTTAAAATGGTGAATTTTGTGGTATGTGAATTACATTTCAATTAAAAAAAAAGAAAGAGCATCTCCTCCCCCTCCCCTTGGCTTACTGAGAATTACTGTGTGGGTGCTGGGAGGACATTGCAGCTCAGCACACAGACCTGGACTTCCTGGGTCATGGGACCACCGCACCCGTTCAGTCACAGAACCCTAGAGCTGGCAGTGACCAGCACCCTCATTTCACACATCGCACTGCATGGCTTGGCAGAACGGGCACCAGGACCCAGGCCCTCTGCCTGCCAACCAACGCGGGCTTCGTCCACATCCACCACCCCACCCCAGGTGCTGAAGCCCCCTCCCCGCCTTGCCCCCAGAGAATGAATGCTCTGCAACCCAGTTTTCCATCGACAGGGAAGAGACAGCTGAGAAGAAAATTGGCCAACATCCACGACATACGTAGGGGACAGGCCCTATGCAAGGTGTAGTACGTGAGCCGGCAGCTCATCAATGCTTTCGGGGTCTTTAAATAAGATCTTTCAAGAACAGAGCGGACTCAAGGAACACCCACCACCTCTCCTTCCTTCACCTCCCCAACTCTGCAGAAACCACTGAGACAGTGCCGCACTGAGACTGAGGAAAGATGCAGTGGTGTCGCTGACCTGGCTTCACAAGGCTTCAAAGCCACAGCTGCCACAGGAATAGACACAGAGCTTCTGGGTCACTCCAGCAACCTAGCAAACACAGACACCGAGACCCTGGTTCACGGGGGCTTATGCATGCATCTCAGTAGCTCTGCAAACAGAGCTAGTGGTCCTGGGCTTCCCTTCACAAATACTCTGCCCAATTCAGCTCTTGCCCTTTGGGAAAGGGTAGTAGACACCTCACCCTTTACTGGATCCCATACTGGAGGGGAAACTCTATACAGGGCATTATTTGATAAATTGGAACATGAAAGGTAGGTTATAGTATTGTTGCAATGTTAAGCTTCATGAAGTTGATAATGGAATATGGTAACATAAGAGAATATTCCTACTTTCAGGAAACACAAGTATTTAGGGGTAAAGGTCAAAGATACATGTAATTTATCCTCAAATGCATCAGAAGAAAATGATACCCTCACATATACAATCAGACAGAGAAAAGGAAAGGATTTGGACTTGTGTCGGTTAAGTGATGTATGAGGTCCATTTGGGCTCTTCAACAAGGAAGAGAGGTACAGGCTCCCCGCCCCCTGCAGTGGGTAGCACCTGGAGCCAGGCCCAGAAGGAAGAACATGCACCTGCAGGCCCTGGGCCAGGTCTCCGCAGGACCACCACTCCAGCCACCAGCCTCTCGCCTAGCCTCAGGCCCTTCTGCACGCTGTTGGTGGTGAGCTTTCAAAAATCAAAGTCTGATCGTGTTGTGCACCTGCTCAAACTGTGCAAGCTTTTCCCCTCATGTGTAAAATGTGAATAATAACCTCCTCCTCACAGGATTGTTATGAGGGTAAAATGCATGAAAAGCCAAACAGTGAAGCGCTCAAATAAGAGCAGCTTTTGTTATGTGTGTGTGTACGCATGCCCATGTGTACCAAAAATGAGGGAGGAAAGACTGGAAGGAAATGCACCAAAATGCTATTCATGGTTTTATCTCTAGATGGCGGGAAAATGGGTAGTTTAATCATCTTCTGTGTTTGTTTGTTTTTAATTTTCCAAACTTTCTATAAAACCATGTGGATTTTGCAATAAATAAAAGGCATTTAACACAAAACTCCAAACTTTCTGAAAAGATGGGTCCTTCCTGGATTAGTCCAAAATGTTGTAAAAACTACAGATCTTGAAAGGCTCTCAGAGACCGGGAATGGTAAAAACACGGCAAAACTCTCTTCTTCTGCCCCGGTGGCAGGCATCACTAATGGATTAGAGCACGCTCACTGGCCCCAGCCTTGAGGGACTTGCTCGGGGTCCCAGGGAATGTGGGGGGCGGAGCAGGGCTGCAGCCCAGGGCTCTGGCTCCCAGGTGCTGAGTGTGCCACACTTGCTGTGTTGGAGGCTCTCAGCCCTGAGTCAGTGTCCTGCCCCCCTTCTGCCCACAGCCTTGCCTTGCCGTAGGCCATTTCCTGGCTCAAAGGGCATGAGCAGTGCTGGGCCTTTTGCTCTGGCACACCCAATTGCTCTCTGGCCCAGAGCCCTGCCCTAATTTTTGTCTGGAAGGTTTCTGGAAAGAGCTAATGGTCAGGCTGGCCTTGGCTGATAGGAGGCCAGCCGCATTCAGACTCGGCTGAGCCACGGACTCGGGAGATGCTTCGGGGCCAGGCATGGCTCAGCTGGGCCAGCACTCCTCCCAGGCCTCCCAAACGGAGACCCAGCTACAGACAACTTCTCTTCCTTCTCAGAGATGGCTGGTTTCCCACCCTACTACTCTCCCCCACCCCGGGCTGCTCTGTCTAACAGGGTTTTCTGCTGAGGTCTGATATTAACAGACTCCATTAGCCAGTCTCATGGGCTATTGACTGAGCTGCTAAAAGCCCTGTCATGACAGGGACATTTATAATCAGGGGGACATTTATAATCAGGAGGCCACTTCTGCCTTTCAGTCTGGCTCTCCAACACCTCCTTCCCCTTCTCCACGCACCTGGAGGCCACAGTGTCAGTCTGACCCCCTCCAACGCGGTCCACTCACCGGGCCCACCCCCAGGGCTCTCCCTGCCCTTGCGTTCATTTCTCCCCACCCACCACACCTCGTAGCAGAGTCCACCTTGCGCAACCCTCGGGGTGGGGGTGGGCTCGGCTGCAGGCAGGGCCCCAGGCTCACCTGCCCCCAGACCTTCCTGCCAAGCACTGCCCAGGCTGCGGGAGCCTCCCTCCAAACAGGCCGGCCCCGTGTCATGGTGGGAGGAAGGAGGCTGCCTGCAGAGTCACCTGGCCCCTGGGGCAGCCTGGCCCTGCTGAGAATAACCTCCAGGACACCATGGTGAGGCCAGGCACCTTCCAACACTGATGCTCCCGTATACGCTCCATTAGATACTTAGCTAGCTTGAAACTCCCTTCTCACGGCACCAGCTTACCGAGACCTTTCTGTGCCTGGCTGGGATGTAATCCCTGGTAACCGACAAGGGGCCCCTAGAAACCAGAGCCCAAACTGAGAAGCTGCACGCAGGCCAGTGAATCGAGAGCGAGGCCCCACGACCACACCCAGGGCCGGGCCACGTTCTGGTCCTCACCCTCGGGGCTTGGGATCCTTTGACGTCATCTCCCTGAGCCTCAGCATCCTCATCTGCACGATGGGCCAATACTTCCCGTAGAGGGGCTAATGAAGGCGTCAGCGTAAGCACTGTCCCTGCTAACCCTGTAGGCCTGTCCGCCGGGATGCGCTGGGTCAAAGGCCCAGCACGCGCACCCTCTCCCTCTCTCCTCCGGTCCTACCCGAGCATACTGCATGTGCTTACCCAGGAAAATATCCACCAAATGCAATGCGTTCACCTTTCTGGACCACGATTCAAAGGAACCAAGCACAAAGAGCAACTCTGGAGCTTGCTGGAATGCAAACTGCCCAGCCCCACTTCTGACCCACCGAATCGGAATCTGTGTTCTTACACTCAGGTATGAGCTCTGATTAGTGGCTTCCAGCTCCCGTCCTGCTTGGGTTCCTAGGAGTCTGTGACCGTAGCAATTAACATGTGTCCTTGAGCTGTTTATGGAATTTCAAAAAGCCCAAAGGGAATCACACATTTTACTTAGATCAGGCTGCACAGGACAAGTGAGTCTTAACCGCCCAGTGGCTTCTCACTGGACTCAGAATAGGGTCTCCTATAATAGATTCTTGCCGTGGCCTCCAAGGCCTTTCCAGTCCCAGCTCTGCCCCCTCTCTGACCTTACCTCACACTCCTCTTGCCTCTGTGACAATCTGTACCAATTTGCGTCTTAAACACACCAAACCCAGGGCCCACACCGAAGCCTTTCCCGCCTCAGGGCCTTTGCACTTGCTATTTATTCTTCCCGAACACTGCTTCTAGAACTTCAAGGGGATCTCTGCTCAAATGCTGCCTCCTCAGAAAGGCCTTCTCTGATCATCCTATCTTTCTAAACTAGGTCTACTCTCCCCACCTAGGTCCACTCCATCACATCAAAGCAACTTATTTTCTTAAATCAGTTGTTAGTACCTATCTATGTAGTTCATTGAATTAGAAATTGTGACAGTTCTGAAAGAGGCTGAATAATAAAAATCTGAAAAATACATTATTCAATTAATTGAGAATACAGTCTGTATGGCGGGTAGAATCTTTTAAAAGCACCCAGAGCTTGGGAGAAACAAGTCAAACGGGTCATCTCTAGGGGACCTCTGAGCTCTGATCTTCAAGTCTTTCCATAAATCCCATTTTACACTTGTCCCTCCCCAGCTTGAAAAATCTCAGCTCTAGAATACAGTTCACACTTCTCATCCTGGCATTCATTTCCATTTACTGAGGTCATCTTTAATACTGGTCTTTCACTGCTAGATTCGGTTTGCTAGCCATTTTACATGCAACTTTTTTTTTCTTTTTTTAAGATTTTATTTATTTATTTGACAGAGAGAGACAGTGAGAGAGGGAACACAAGCAGGGGGAGAGGCAGAGGGAGGAGCAGACTCCCCGCCGAGCAGGGAGCCCGATGCAGGGGCTCAATCCCAGGACCCCGGGATCATGACCTGAGCTGAAGGCAGCCGCTTAACTGACTGAGCCACCCAGGTGCCCCATTTCACATGCATCTTGAGTGAAACTGGCCTGTCATTTTTCTTTCTTGTTCTGTCCTTGTCTGGTTTTGGAAGCAAGGTTACACTGGCTCACAGAACAAAGAGGGAAGCAGTCCCTCTTTTCCTATTCTCCAGAAATGTTTGCAAAAGATTGGAATAATCAGTTCCTTGGAAGTTATATAGAAATTGCCTATAAAACCACATGAACATAGTATCATCTTTATGTATGTGTTTGGTGTGAAATGCCGCATATTAAAAAAAAAAGCATAAAATGTAAGTGTTCAGCTTAATGAACTGCTGGAAAATAAAATGCCCATTTATCTGCCACACTGTCAGGTTCAGACATGAACTATTACCAACACAAAGGAGACCCCCCACCGTGGTGCACTTTCCAGTCATAACTCCCCCTTCCCCCAGGGGTTGATAATTATCCTAGTTTTCTTGATAATCCCTTGCTTGCTCTTCCTTCAAATGTTGCTACTTACTTACACATCCCTTAAGGCAGAGTTTAATTTAGTCGGTATCTATCTTTAGGTAAACAGAATAAGACAGTTTATAATTTGTTTGGTACCTTTCCCTCAAAATTGTCCTTAGGATTCATCCATGTTGAGGCACCTGGGTAGTGCAGGTGGTTGAGTGTCCGACTCTTGGTTTTGGCTCAGGTCTGATCTCACCGTCACGAGACTGAGCCCTGGGTCAGGCTCTGTGTCGGGGGGTCTGCATTCAGCAGGGAGTCTGCTTCCGATTTTCTCTCCCTCTCCCTGTGCTCCTCCCCCTGATCTCTCTCTCTCTCTCTCAAATAAATAAATATTAAAAAAAGATTCATCTATGCTGTGGTATGCATATATATGTTGTTCTTTTTCATGATTATGTATATTCCGTAGTATGGATATATCATAATTTATTCGTGTAATTCTTGGACATTTGAGGTTTTGCAGTTTGGTGACAATATGAACATTGTTGTAATTGTGTTCCAGTGCACATAAACACACTGCAGGGATATACCCAGTAATGGAATCTCTGGGTCATAGGGTGTGTGTATTTTCCTCTCTACTAGAAACTATCACATTTTGTTCTAAAACACGTGCGACAGTTTACCCTGTCACCAGAAGAGTCTGAGAGTTTACATGGCACCATATCCTCACCACCACTCACTATTCTTTGTTTTTTCTTAAAGATTTTATTTCTTTATTTGATAGAGAGATAGAGAGCACAAGTTGGCAGAGTGGCAGGCAGAGGGAGAGGGAAAAGCAGGCTTTCTGCCAAGCAGGGAGCACGACGTGGGGCTCGATCCCAGCGCCCTGGGATCATGACCCGAGCCGAAGGCAGCCGCTTAACAACTGAGCCACCAGGCGCCCCCGCCACTCACTATTCTTAGATCTTCACATTTTTGCCAATCTGGCGGCTGTGGTGGTATCTCACTATGGGCTACTGCTGAGATACTCCTGAATGGGAATTTAAAATTTATCTTTTGTAATTGATTTCTAATTCAATTCCATTCGGATCAGAAAACCCGGTCTATGAGACTTCATCTTATATTTATGACTGGGACTTCGGAAGTCCTTTGTCGGGGCAGGCGGGGGGGGGCAGTGTCTAAGTCTGTCATTTATTGTTTCTGCTGGCTCTTATTCATGGCGGCTCACGTGCCTGGTGATCTCAGATTATGAATCTGCCTGATCTTACTCTGTGGGAGCCCTGTCCACAGGTGGGATGCTTTCCTCTGGAGAAACTTCCTATCTGCCTCTGCTGGGAACCAGAGGCACGACCAGCCAGAATCCCACTAGCCCCTCTGGAGGTTCTGCCTTGAGCTGACTCGGGCTTGGCATCCTGAAAAGGTTGGCTCTTCGGTTAAGCTATATGAAACTACCACTCTGGGGTCAAAACTGTTAAATAATCAGCAGTTGCATATGGTCTAACCTATCCGTTTACGTTAGGTTAACGTTTGCTTGCAGGACAAACTGCTGCTTTCTATTTGCTTACTGCTTACCTCTCCCAGTTAGATTTTTGGCTCAAGATTTGTTTCCTTTTGTTGGGGAGGGGAGGTGGCTTTGGAGATTTCCTCAATGTCTTGTGAGCCCAGCAATGCATTACAAATGATATTTTATTCAGGAGTGAGTTATTTTGCAGTGGGGTGGAGGGCAGGTCTTAGGAGTAGCTAGGCAACTGCTAGAAGCAGAAATCCCAGGATACGTATTTTTTTTCCCAATGAGGAAACCAAGGCTCAAAGAAGTGAAAGGACTCAAGGTCACGTGGCTGGTAAGAGGCAGGGTTAGGATCTGAACCCACACATGAGACCAGAAAGCCAGGCTCTTTCTACTTCCGCTGCCTGCACTGCCTCCAGAGGGCTGTGTGGGCCTGAGGTTTACCCGGCATCCTTACCTGGTTCAAGGGAATGACGAAGAAGGCCCCCCCACAGGAGCACTCAGTCACGACTGCAATGAAACAGGGGTTCACAGCACAGAAGTGATTGTCGTGGACACTGTGGGTGATGGGCACCGAGTCGTAGCAGTTCTCCTTGCTGGCTGGTTTGCCAAAGACGTGGCGGAACTTGGAGCTCCGGTACTGGGGATGCCATGACATCTGCGGGAAATGAACAGGACAAGGGGGGCATGAGGCTCACGGCTCTGACAGCGGGACACTCGGGGAGCTCCCCTGGAGAGGGCAGGACCAGGGTAGTGGTCGGTTCTATGTGGACAGGGCGCTATCAAGGGCAACCAAACGAGCAGGCCGTCATTGTGGCTACTTCTACGGATCTGGTGAGATGATGGATGATTATCACTGACCTGTTTGCTTGTCATCTCTTCACGTGTCAACCCAAAAGGCAGAAACACCAGAGAGAAAATTCAGATTTCCTCCCTATCGGCCCACCCCACTCAGCCCAGCTGTGTGGGTCACACTGTGTCCTCTGGAGCCAGCCTGCGTGGGCTCCAGTTCCAGCTCTGCCTCTTACCGGGCTGGGTGGGCAAGTGACTTAACTTCTGCGGCCTCAGTTTTCTCATCTGTAAAATGGGGATCACAAAATCATCTGTCTCACAGACTTGTCGTCAGGACTAAATTATAGGTTCCTTGATCTACAGTCATAATTACTACCACTATTATCATTTGGGCATCTTGAGCTTCCCTAGCTCCTCATCCAGCCCCGTATTTGTTCACTCTAGTTACTGAGCACCACTGTGTGACTAGGCCCTGTGCCTGGCACCGGGGGTTTGGAGAGAGTAAGCAGGAGCCCAACCTTAGAGAAGTGAAAAGTCTTGTGAGTAAGGCCACTAGGGGAAGGTGGGCCACTGGGACTCAGTGTACTATAGGTAATAATAAAGGTTTGTACATGGCAGTCCGGGAGGGCTTCCCAGAGAAAGTGACAAGTGAGCTGTGATTTGAAGGATGAGTAGGAGTTGGCCATGTTGGCAGGACAAAGGTAAGGTGGCAGGAAAACGTCCCAGGCAGATGGAACAGCCTGAGCAAAGGCCCTGAGAGAGAAGCAAACATGGAATGTTTGGAGAATTACATGTGGTTTAGTAAGATTAGCAAGGACATGTGAAAAAGAAAAGAATATATATGCATACACACACATAAACATGGAAATGGGATGATGGGAGTGAAGAGAGCCCAAGCTGGAGGAGGAGCACGGCCAGGTCATGGATGGCAGCAGAGGGTCTCGGCCTCATGAGTGGCCAAACACATGACACCATGTGGCCACCGCTGCCCAGGTCAAACCCCTAACCCCAGTCTCTGACCCCACCGGGCCTGCCCGTCCATGCTCCTCGTCTAGGCCAGAGAGATCCTTCTGGACACCAAGCCTGGCTGTATTCCTCACTCCTCCCCCAACTGAGTTCACCCTTGGGACGCTCTTGATTCACTGCTGCCCTGTAGGAGCAAGGCCAAACCCAGGCTGGCATTCAAGGCCTTCCGGTGTGGTGTCCCCCCCCCACCCCATATTCCAGGATTCACCTTTTCTTGCTCATCTTCTAAAATGTACTTTCCAGATAAAGAACATCCCAGCTTCCCTTGTACCTGCTCTTGCATTTCCGGTCCCTTGCCTTCCCCTCTGCTTGGCCTGCCCTTCCCAGCCCCGTAATCCCTGTCCCCATCCCCATAAATCCAAACCCTCCCTCCCCCAGCTCCCAGGCCCCTTCTCCAGAGTCTTCCTTGCCACCCCAAGTAGCAGAGCTCTTGTAGTCTCCTCTCTTCTACCCCTCCCACCAGCCCCGTCTCCTCCCTGCCCTCAGGCCCCTGACACTGCCGGCCCTAATTCCAGAGTCTGGTGTCCGGGCTCTTCTCTGCTGCTTGCAGGTTCTTCAGAGGAAGGCCCGGGGTTCTGCTGCAGGAGTGCCCAGCACAGAGCTCTGCCCACCCCCAGGCCCTAAGAATTTCCCAAGGGCAGTCACATTTGGCTGGGCACCCCCAGGGTCAGGACAAAGAAGGCATTTGATCTGTGATCAGTTCAAAGGCACAAGATTAGACTGTTGACCTCAAGAAGTCACAGTGATCGGGGGGTCCCACACATGAGTCAAACCCTCTACAGGAAGCCCACCAGCCTCCTGGGACAGTCTGTCCTGTGAAGCTCAGACATTTCAACTCTCCTTTTGGGAGCTGCGTTTGCCAGAGCTATATGAAGCGGCCCAGAATGCTGGAACAGACTGACTAATTAATGTCTGTCTGATCTCAGAAAGGAGGTAAGAAGCCTTACAGAAATGGAGAGCACACAAGATGGAAGCAGATGGAAAAGCCACGGCGAGGCCATGGGGACAGAGGGAAAATGCAGGAATAAAGAGATCACCTGATATTCGGGGGGAGCTAAGCTACTGAATGTGCGCTGTCAGGTCCTCTACACAGTGGAGGTGCACCTCAGACTTGAGCCTGAGCCTCCTAGTGGCCAGTTCGATAAGGCAAACCGAATCAGAAAGAGATTTAGTCAGTGTGTGTAAGATACAAGCCACCACTTGCTAAGGAGCAGCCCGTCTTTTCTCTGCGCTGGGTCCTGAGGGAAATGGGTCCTGGGGGGTCTTCTCAGGAAAGAACAGCAAGGACCAAGATGTCCCTAGGGTCTTGGTCATTAGATGGCAGCTGAGGAACTGCCTTGGACCGGGGCTGAGGGTAGGAAAGTAAGGGGCAAGTCAGCAGGCTCAGATCCAGCCCCTTCATAAGAGTCAAGGCTATGGGCTGTGGGGTTAAGAGGGCCGGTCGTGGTGCCGAAATCACCATGACCTGAGTGGCATCGCCCGTCCTGGCCCCTCGGCCACTCGTGCTGCTCTCCCTTCAAAGCCCCAGGGCTCGGCCCCACACCTGAGGGATGGCTCCCAGCCCAGGGTCAGGGTCAGGAGGCCCCAAGAGGCAAGGGCTCTCCTTCAGCTCAGTCACCTCCGTGGCAATGACAACTCAGTTTTTGGGTGCTTGCTACGTGCCAGGTGCCATTCCCAGTGCTTTCCCTGTATGCACGTAACAGGCAGGTGCTACCTTGCTCCCCAGTATAGATGTGGGGGTTGAGGCAGAGAAGCGAAGGAACAACCCACGCGAGGTTACACAGCTAGCCAGCTGGAGCTGGGGGCTGAACCCAGCCCTGCCTCCGGAGCCTCCAGAGCCTCCAGCTCCAGGATGAGGAAGTCTCTTTCCTACCATCACATGCTCAATCTCACCTCAGCCCCGAAGGGGAGGCATCGTGACTGTTCTCACCCCCACTTTACCGAAAAGTAAAACAAGGCTCAGGAAACTAAGTGGACACCGTCTGTAAAGAAGGCTCTTTGCTTCCACTGATAAAGTCAGCGGCTGTGGAACAGTGACAGAAAACTAAAACTCTGTGAGTGACCTTCTGTTCCCTTGCCCCCAACTCCACTCCCCACTCTTCCCCACCCTACCCTGCCCCGGCGCCTTATCTCCCCTGCCAAAGTTCTTCCAGACCTGTTGCCAGGGAAGGAAACTTACAGAAGTGGGAGGATGGGGCCAAGCCAGGCAGGCCGTCTCTCCCTGGGCCCGCGGTATGGGAGTGTGCACACATGTATGTGGGTGAAGTCTGTGCAGATGTGTGTGCGCTGGGTGCAAATCTGTGCCCGAGCACTGCATTCATCATACGCGCCGGTGTGTGGATGCATCTGGGCGTGCATGTGTGTATCTGTGCATGCACGAGTTTAAGGACTCAGCAATTCAGAGAGCAGGAGTTTTATTTCCCCCACAAGCAGGCACTTGCCTGGAAATGCAGACCGCAGAGGGCCCTCGACACATCGAGGGCCCTCGCCCATGGGCTGGGCCAGAAAGGCCGATCTGGGCTAGGTTTATCCCAGGCCACCAGTCCTGCCCTGCCTGGTGCCATCCAGCAGGGCCCACATCAAAGTCACAGCATGCCTTCTTAGGTGTGGCGGGCCAGCCCGCTGGGGCACCGAGTGGGGGGTGGCATGGCTTCTGCTGCTATCCCATGCATGTTTAGCGGGCCTGATGCCATGGGATTAGGCTTTGCAGGCTGCAAATTCCCCGCGCCCCAAAAAGATTTAGTCATCTCTGGGTTTAACATCCCATTGAGTTTAGTTCTTAATGCCTGACAGGTGAATGGCTTGCTGGCTGTCCCATCCCTTCCAGTTCCCCTGCCAGGTAGGTGGAGACTGTTGTCCCATTTGATGAGGGCAAAACTGAGGTGCCGGGAAGTGACTTGACTAAGATGACATTAATAGGAGCAACGGGAGGTGGGAAGCGGAAGCCAATGCCCCTCTTCCTGCTATGTGCTCCTCTCTGATGTGTGTGTGTGTGTGTGTGTGTAAGAGAGAGAGACACAGAGAGAGAGAAAGACACACACATATATACGTGTGTGTGTGTGTGTGTGTGTGTGTGTGTTCCTGCCCGTCCCCAAAGGCCTGTCTTCCCAGCACAGCCCTGCATCATTGCAGGACAAAGGTTAGCTGCGGGGTGAAAGAAACCAAACCCAAACTGGGAGTGGTACAAACCAGCATAACAGATTAGTCATTAATTTGCCTGTTCCTGGGCGCCTGGGTGGCTCAGTCGTTAAGCGTCTGCCTTCGGCTCAGGTCATGGTTCCAGGGTCCTGGGATCGAGGCCCGCATCGGGCTCCCTGCTCCACAGGAAGCCTGCTTCTCCCTCTCCCACTCCCCCTGCTTGTGTTCCCTCTCTCGCTGTGTCTCTCTCTGTCAAATAAATAAATAAAATCTTAAAAAAAAAAAAAATTTGCCTGTTCCTGGCCTCAGGGAAAGCATGACATTGCCTAATTTGGTATTAGACTCAGGAGTGGGTAGGGGTCTGGTGCTGCTGGCTACCATTGTCCCTTTGTAAGTTTGTGGTTCCTCATCTAATATTTGCAGTTTTATTTAATTGGCTCTCGTAAAACCTGACCTCATGGCCGTGTGAGCTGTCCCTCTACGTGCCTCGGGAGAAGGTCGAAACCACCACATTTGGGTCAATGTAGTTAACAGAGGGGAATTAGGACCACAGTTTCTTAGGCTTAAAAAATGAAAAAAAAAGACTACTGTAAGAGTAAAGAACACTCTGAAGGTGATCTACAAAGACTGAGAGTTAACACAACAAACACCTAATTATGGGCGGGTCCCTCACCTTGACTCCAATCCTTGACCAACTATTAT